CGTAAGGTTAGCTAGATGGCTCCTCATCTTCATCCGCTTCTCGCATTCCACCCTTGTTCCGAATCGAGCTCCTTCGCTCACGTCAATTCTACCTCCGTCTCTGTCCGTCAAAGTTTCGAGTTATAAAACGGAGTAAAGGGAAACGGTTATTAATCGGTTTAGGCGATGATACCTTGACCGATCGAGGGCAGAGATTGTGTACATTTTATCTAGAAACCTGTTCCCGTTCCACAGGATTTTCCAACGGAATCGCGACACCACGAATTTCTTACTCGCCGCTTCCTACTCGCATTGATGTCCCCTTGCACGCTGCAACCTAGACCGTTCAATGTCACTTCGATATCGCATAATTTTCAAACGTTTGCGGGACATGATTATGCAATTATGATTGACAATGATGTTGCCTCGATTCTCATCTAACAACAACGTATCTCGGGTTATTTATCACATGACCTCCTTCGAGGAAAGCCATACAAGTTGGTGATAGAATCTGTGCTGATAATATTCTCGTTAATTTCATTCTATAGTCGCAATTACGTCGCACGGATTCGCGAATGAAAAATAAAATGAAAGAATGTTTAAAGAAGTTATTTTTCTTTTTGAAGAAGAAGAAGAAGAAAAGAACTCTTTGTAGAAAATAGGATAGGAAGAATAGGAAGCTGGATAACAATATTTCAATAACGATATATGTTGTGTATTCAAAGAGATAGTAATGATCTAAAGTAAGGTATAAAAATTAGGTCGTCCTAATGTTGAATCCAGCTATTTAACTAACCGGGTTCACGTTGCTCTATGTATGTGGGATATGTTTTAAGGATTCACCTCTTCACAATATCATTAAACACCACTACAGACAACGAGACTGCCAACAGACGGCGATAGCCAGGTCACAGGGTGAACCAAAGTTATATAATGAAATAGAAAGCGTTTATGTAACTGACAAAAACCTGTAATATATAGGTTCCAAAAAAAAATCAGAGAGAGAGAGAGAGAGAGAGAAAGAATAGATTTATTTCGTTAATTGATATCAATTCACGAAGTTCCTTTAGATCATAAGGGTATTCAAAGTAGGTACACGAGTTGTTAGAGTATTTTGCACGTATATCGAGACAAATAAAATATTCCTAGAATAACAAAATTGCGAGTAAAGAAAATTTGTTGTTTGTATGAAAATTATATGATCAAGGAAAATTGTATAAAGTAATTGATTGATTGTTTTTCATCATAATTACCGTCAAATATCATGTAAAACACGAGGTGAAAGAGAAGAAAAGCTAGGTAGAGCAAAGTGTAACGTTTACTATTCGATCGTCCAACTTCGGTAACGCAAATACGATTTCGTTCGTAATGCCTGTGCCCTTATTTCCCAAGAAACACGTGTCTTGCGGCCTTAAAGAAGAATGTTCATTGGCCGGTGCAGTCTAAAGCTGCCCCATCATTGGTCGATGGATTAGATGACCACGTGGTGTCCTAGTATATAACGAAGGGTGAACTAAGAAGGTATCGGCAGTTGTGCTCGGAACATGGACAGAAGTGCAAAGATCATTGTTTATTAACTTGCGCCTATCTTCGATCGCGTAGTGATATCGAAACAATTTAAAGGGAACATCGAGTGCGATTGCTTGGAGGTTTTGCTTGACATTTACTCGTCGTACAACTCGCAGTGGATAGAGCACGCTTCGTACCGCTTGAATTTTTATTATTTTAATATTTGCGTGAACAAAGATATAAAGGACTGACAGAGTGAGTGGCCGAATATAATTGGATAACCGATTAAAAGGTGTACCCTGATATTATTGTGTAAATATAATCGGTATCAGATATATATATTTTTCCCCCCTTTGGAGCAATGCTGTTACTTTTGGACTGTACTACGATTCTAAAGGAAATACCCTCGAAAAATTCTAAAAAGATTACGTTGAAAATAATTGAAAATAGTTACTGAATCGCAGATTTATTTCTCTATATAATATCCATGGATAATAGCAATATAGAAAGTATTTAAAATATCTTACTCTTTGCCGTAAAAATATTACGATCATTACAGAGATTAGAACATTATAGAGATATCTAATGTAGCATTCGCTTAAAATTGATCTCGATCGAATCGTGTTCGGCGTTGTAGTTTCCGGCAAATGGCAAATGGTAAATGGAAGAAGACTTAGCCTCGATGTGTACAAACTATGGTAAGTTCATCGTAGAAATGTACAGATAGGAAAATCGAAGGTGATGAATTTTGTATTCGAATCGAACTATCCTATCAACCTATAGAACAACCAGATGTCCGGTCCCCACAACTTATCTTGGTACGGATATACTTTTCATATGTATTTACATGGATTGTGTGTATCGTTGTTTTTCATTCTAGCATTGGAAATAATTTAAAGAAAACACAAATAATAACAATTCATAATTTCATTACGGATGAAAAATAATAAAAAACATTTTATTCCTCTAAATTGATTCATTCTACTGTAAAAGAAAATAGTTTCGAAAATTTCTGTAGAAAAAATTATTCTAAACGAATGATGAGAATGATTCTTAAGGAACTGCTAAAGGATTACATTGATTTTTTAGAATTTTTAGAATAGATATATATAAGAAAAAAAAAAAATAGATCATTGATATGCGATAAAAGATAATAGACAAGTTGTATTTGTACTGTACTTGTACATTTTTTACTACTTCGTATCCCACTTTTTTAACTCTACTACTATTAGCTATCAAAGAATGAGATAAGAAAAAATAACGATTAAATAATAGTAATAAGAATAATAATCGTGACAGCTCAACTCTATATTATGAACGAAATTTACAAAAAAAAAATCATTTCCAAACGTAAATTAGAATGTATTGAATAATATATTACTATGCATACTAGATAAAACTCATTTCCTATTTTTTCTTTTATTTTAATACGTTGTTTCTCTGTTACAAATGTTGCTCTACGTCTTTTACAGCTATTCAAACAGTGTAATTTTGGGGGAAAAAAGTATTCTAGTGTAAATTATCCGCATAAAGAGAAGAAACGAAAAATAATGGACCCTAATGCAGCTGCTGGCCACTGCACAAGATTAGACATAAGACTCTTGTGCGTGTGACAGCGGCTATGATGGGGTTTCCACGAAGCAACGAAATGATGCGACGAAACTTGTATTTTTACGAAGTGTAACTTACGAGATATTGCCTCGCAAATTTAGTACGTATATAAAAAATATCAGTCTCTCAATCAATCTTTCTTCAAAAGATATAATAAAATAATTAAAATAATTCCTATATAACCCAAAATCTTGCAAAAATTATCCTTATAAAATCTGTAAATTTTACATAATAATTATTAAATCTGTAATGTTTTAACTAAAAATATGTTTATCTTTATTAAAAATGAAATATTCATAATTATAGTGATCGATTTTTATAAAATAATAAGAGAAAAAATAATATTATAATTAAGATATAATAAAAATATCTATATTATACATTATTATAATTTTAATATGACAATAAAATGCAGATTGTACTTTTCTATTTCTTTTATTTCATTCAATTAATTTCTTTTCTTTTTTTCAATTTTATTGTCTAATTTTATTACCTAAAATATTTCCTTTTACTCTATTTTATTTAAGTCTCAAACAATCTTAAACGAAATAAGAATTTTAAAAACAAATGTTATATCCATTTTTGTCCGTCATTAGTGTTATATTATAGAAGCGAATACAATTCGTGTTCCTAATCTCAATAGAGTTTAAAATATGCCCATTGCACTTAATTATAATTTGTTTCAAAACTAAAATTATTTAATAGAAAAATTTTGCATTATGCATAAAATTCTTTTAAAAATAATTTAAATTTAAAAATTGATTGTATTACACTGTAAGAAAGAGTTGTATCAATTATAATTTAGATACATATATATTTTATACATATATACTATATATACAAACAATAATATACTAAACAATAACCTATCATTTATTGAATTTATTAATTTAAAATAAAAAATCATTATATTGTTACAGTAAATTATAATATAAATTTTAAAATTAAAAATATAACTGTATATAATTAAACAAAAAATAATATTATTTAAAAATATTAAAATAAAATACCAATTTTATATTAAAATAAATTCTCAATGAACATATATGAAAATTATATTTAAATTAAATTTAACTATAATTGTATTCGTAAAAAATAGATTTAAAAAATGTTTCAATATTTAAATTAAAATCAAATCATAAAATTTATTGTAATACATATATACTTGCTTATCAATTTCGCGTGTTTTAAAACTTATCTTAAGTAAGTCACTTCTTTCTATTAAGTCACTGAAGGATTATTTTTCGAACACACGTTATTCGAGCATTGTTTGAACACAAGAAAACATAACCAAAAATATTTTTTAGTTCAAAAGAATAATATTAATAAAATTAAGAAATGCTTGTCTTTTCTTTATAAACATAGGTAATAATTAAAGAATAATGGATAGAATAATAATTTTTTTAATTAAAAATGCAAAAGAAAATAAGTAAGTAAAAATCATTCGTATTTATTTTAGTGTAATTATTTCAATTTCTAAAACTCATGTATTTTCGATAAAAATTCATTTAGGAAATAAATTTATATAATTTAATAATCAACAATTTCTGCAACTTCTATTTTGATAATATTTAAATATGATACTACAATGTATTATTATAATAATTACAAAGTTGTATATAATATTTTGCAGGAATATTTTATATATATAACTTTTTTTATATACATAACCTTTTTTTAAATATATAATAATAAATTAATACAAGTTTTAATTTCATGATACAAAAAAATTATATGAATATATTTTTAGAAAGTTGTAAAATGAATATCATGAAGTTAGAAATCTTTCATGAAAATCAGACATCGTGTCGCATCAACCAATCATCTTTCCAGTGTTTATAATAGTCGATATAGAAGTTTTCTTCTATGAAAATCTAGCTATATCAAATATGTCATAGTGGCTCCATGAAAAAATTCAATAAATTAAAACGATGAGTCAAATTATATTAGATTTCGTATTTATTCATTTGTTATATTTATACTTGAAGTTATAATTTTTAACATAAAATCGATAAAATCCGCGCTTGCGTATGTCACAATTACGTATCTTATACTTAGTGCTTTGTGAATCTTTGTGAACTACGAAAGTAGTGTCATTTATCAAACTTATTATTTTAATATCAAAATAAATTCATAATGAAATCAGACGTCATGAATCTAGTTAGACAAAACTTCCACGAAGAATGTGAAAAAGCTATTAATGATCAAATAAATTTTGAATTACATGCTAGTTACATCTATCTGTCTATGGTTAGTCGATGTATTGATTAAATAACTATTTCTAACATTAATATGCCTTAAGCAGTATTACATTAATATCTAACCAGTATTATTTAAATAAAAGAAAAAAAAACATTTTATTTTCTATATTGTTATTTTTCCCCATAAATGTTTTCTATGTTTTAATGTTACATTCCATTATTGTTATTTCTTTTCTTAGGCATATTATTTCGATAGAAGCGACGTAGCTTTGCCAGGTCTTTATACATACTTTAAGAAAGCTTCAGACGAGGAAAGAGAACATGCCATGAAGTTTATGACATATCAAAACAAAAGAGGTGGCAGAATTACTTTGAAACCTATTCAAGAACCGCCAAGAGATGATTGGGATAGCGCTCTTGTCGCTATGACGGAAGCATTGAAGCTAGAGAGGCTAGTTAATCAGGTAATATGTACATATAAAAATAAATTTTAATTTTAAAAATTATAAAAATCATAATTTTGAATAAAATAATATAAAAATAATAATAGTACATTTTTTTATTTATGTTTAACTTCTATGGAATATTTTAATTATAAATATTTCTTCTTTTTTTATGTTATATTAAATTCAATAATTTAATTAATATATATTTAATTTATATATTTTTTAAATTGTTATCATATTTATACATTTTTAACAATTATTTTATTAATTGGGGGTGTAACTCAGTGGTAGAGTGTCCGCTTCGCATGCGGAAAGTCCTGGGTTCGAATCCCAGCTCCTCCAAGAAAATCTTTTCAATTTTTTTTTCATTATTTTTTATCCAATAATATATTTATTAATATAAATATTTCAAAATGGCAATTTTTTTGATATATAAATATTTTCATAAATGTTTTAATGCTTTCAGAGCCTTCTCGATATGCACGCAGTAGCATCAGAACACAATGACTCAAATTTTGTAGATTTTCTTGAAACTGAATATTTAAAAGAGCAAGTAGATTCTATAAGTGAACTTGCTAATCACGTTACAAAATTAGAAAGAGTTGGCGATGGTCTAGGAGTATATATTTTCGATCAGGAACTTAGAGAATAAAATATTTTAAAAAGTAGCAAAAAAATAAAAAATAAAAAAATTAACGTATAATATGTAAACAAAATACATAAACTATTAAATCTATAGTAACGAATAAAGCGTTAAATAAAAATGTAAAATAAATATAATAAAAAAGATAACGAATATTTAATTCTAATGATTAAATAGATATATAAAATTGAAGAAGTTAATTTCTGCGTTAAATTAATAAATACATTTGTAAGAAATATTGGAAAATATTAATTTCAATTTATGAATCTTTAAAAATGTAAAACAATGTGATAAATATTGTAATGTATTGCACAGCATAATGCTAATCTGCTAATAAAGCTTATAAATAATTCTGAATATATCGTTTTGATTTTTGTTATCAAATTTAACATATATAATAAATGTTTTATCGTTAATATATTATATGATCTTGAAAATTGCGAATCGATTATTATGATATGAAATGAATATTGAAATAATGAAAACTTCTTAAAGAATAATTTTTACTATTAGCAATACTTTATCAAAAATATAAATGCAAATTTTTAATTTTAAAATATAAATAAAATATATTAAAATTGTGCAATGACAGAAAAATTTTTAATAATGCTTTTAATTTTAATTCACATATTCAACAATTATTTAAAAAAGAGTTTTTAATTTATAGATGAAAAATATAATATCGAATGTAGTTCGAAAAAATACGTAATATTTTTTTGAAAAAGAAGGAAAATTTGTAAGAAAATATGTAAACCAAAAATATTTTCCTCGAAATTTTGAATATCTTACATGGATGAAACGTCAAAAATTTTTTATATTAACAAGCCAAGTGAAAAGCTAATTTAAATTTATAAATAATTAAAATTAATTAATAAGTACAAAAGAAAAAAAAAAGAAAAAAACTGAAGCCATATTAAATAAATATCGAATTAAAAGCTTTATATTATTATTTGTCCATGGTGAGATTAATTAATATATAATTAATAAATTTTAATATTAATCAATAAATAGTTTTTTTTAGTATAAAAAACTATATAATAGCTTTTTTTTGATGTAGATTACTTATTTGTTATAAACTGCATATTTTGAATATGCAACTTTACTCGGATGTGAATCATTTTTATGCAAATGTATCATGAAGACTATGAATAAGACTATATACTTATTCTTGTAAATTAAAAGTTTGTAAATTATATTAAATTACACAGAGGATATGTAAATTTATTTCCAATACAGCTTCCTAATGATCAAGATTGGAAATGCCCATTACATGCTTTTAAAGAAAAATTATTTAAAAAAAAATTATTTTTAATGATATATAATATAATTTTCAAAATATTTTTATTGAATTTATTTAGACAACATTGAATTTGGAAATAGAAATGAAAAATACATAAATGTTGTAACAGAAAGACATGATAATTTAAATGCAAGCGATTATTATTCGTTTTATGGAAAATCAAATGAAAAATGTGAATGAAATAGGAAATAGAAAGATTTATAACTGTTTTGTCTGATATTGGTAATCAAAGATTGGCGCGTTTTTTGTTTAATAAATTTTATTTATTGCGCCAAAATAACATTCTTCGTTTAAAATTACAATCAAATAAAGAACAGAAGAAGTAATAATATTTCTTTTTTTATATTGTTGTGTTGAAATTATAATCGTTTTGTTAATGTGTATATTATAATAATTATATATATAAATATTATATATTATAATAATTATAAAAATATATATCTATCTATATTTGTTTAAAATATAATAAAAATATGTATAGATCAATTAAATTATTGTAAAAAAATTAACTAATAAATAAAATGTTGATAATAATATATTTTTTTAATATTATATTTAAAGTTATTTAATTGATAAAAAATAATATCATACACATAGTAACAACTTAATAAAACTTAATAAAAAGAAATATCCTAAGCTTTTTATTGCAAAAATTTAAATTGTGTTTTCAACAATCTTCAAAAAAATAAAGCTACATTTCTATTTAAATGAGAACATTATCAGTAGCAAATTAATGAAATTCTTAAAAATGATATTAAAATAACAATTACATGGATTTATTACAGATTTAAAACTTTCGTGTTTAATGTTTTGATATATTATATGAGATTTCTGAATTAATTAATAAAAGACATAAAAATATAAGTACGATCAAAAATTAATTATCTTATTTTCCAAGAGAGCAATCGTTTATCTAGTTTAGGAACACATCAAATCACTGAATACCAGTCGTCTCATGTCATGTGTTGAAAACGACTTAGCATGGCGGAAGTATTGCATGCATTTAGTCGTGAGAATAAAACTGCAATAAAAACGAAAGTTGTGGTGTACAAATTTTTTTTCATTTAAATTTGAAATAATATTTAAATTTATTTAAATTTTTAATTTGTTATATAAAAGGATTTCAAACGTGGAATTATCCACAATAAAGTGCTGTGCGTGTGATCAGTAAAAATTACAATTATTAGTAATACGTAATTAACCCTAATTTTCATGAAACAGTATTCGTTTTTTAACATTACGAATGAACGTGATTAATTATTCATGGTTTAAGAATGGCTAGCGATTTGTCAAGTGAGTGTACAGAAGCAATTGGTGTGTTAGATGAGAAAGAAGAAGGTGAAATATCTTTGGAAGATGTAAGTTCTTCCGAAGAAGGACATATAAATTATGGATATGGCTCTAAAACATCTCAATGTTCGAACTGTTTGTCAACTCAACACAATGCAACGTGGTGTACTGTTCCGGCCAAGTTCTACCCTCCTAAAGTCACTAATAGAAGAGGTAAATTAAATAATACAGCTTTTTATATTGTTTTTAAAAATTATGAAAAATATTATTTATGATGTTTTGATTATTATATATTTAATATGATATAAATAAATATTTTAAATTTAATTTATAAAAAATAATAGACAATATAAAAGCTGCACAAAATTCTTGTTGTATTATTTTTCATTTTTTATTTTATAATAGTAAACAATATTTTACAAAAAAAAAACTTACTTTGTTTTTATTTATATACTTTATTTATTTTTTTATAAAATATATTTTATATTTATATTATATATTTATATGAATATAAAAATATACCTCTGATAACATATTAAATCTTTTGACACCTAATGTATTATCATTCTCGACATATCATGTTCTAATCAAGTAGAAGTTGACCTTATTCCACAAGATGCAGTCCAGGGAAAAGAAAATCGTCATCAAATAAAAGAATCAGGATGTATTGGAACAAAACATACAACTTCTACACTTCAAGAAAAAAATGATGATCTTGTGCCTATTTCAAGCGATAGTGATATGGAAATTGTTGGTCTTGCCGATAATTCTAAACAAATTACAATACATTCCTCTGCAAAAAGTAGAATGAAGAAGAAAAGAAAAAAGAAAAGAAATCATGTATCTGCAACATCATTAGATGATTTAGTTTCTTCATCTACTGTGGATATATCTATGAAAGAATGTATTAATACAATAAAACATGATGTGACAAAAAATAATTCTAGATCGCATCACAGAGAAATGAGTCCTATTCACAGAAGTAATAGATCTAAAGTAATTCCAAGATCACCTCCAAAAAGACATAGATCTCTTATAAAACCAAGATCTCCTTTTAGAAGATCAAAATCTCCAATTATTCGTGCTAGATCACCAACAATAAGGAGATCTCCAAGGAGACTTAAATCTCCTAAAAGATCACCATACAAATCCTCAACAAAAACAATGCCTAGAAAAACATCACATATTGAATTAATGTCATCTCGTAATTATGTTGATACACATAAATTACTAAAAAAAGTCAGACAATTAGGTTCAATAGGAACTCATTCATTAGAAGAAACTCTGAATAAAAATAAAGAACATGCATCCTCATTGAAAGAAAAATTAACAAACATGATGAAAGGTGTTTCTGACAATAATATTGATTTAACAAATTCTTCAAAAGAAAAAACTATTATAAATGTGAATAAGAAAGAATCTAATGATATTGATGATGAAGAAGATTTAGCATTATTAAGACAGAAAGCCCTTGAAACAAAACAAAATAAATCAAACAAACAGAATGATGTATCAAAGACTGAAACTTCAAAACATGTAAATGCAAATATAAATGATGATCAAGATGAAGAAGATTTAGAATTAAGAATGATTGCACTTCGTTCTGCTGTATTAAAAAAACATCAAAATAGAATTCAAAAAGGTATAAAATCAGGAAAATACAAGAAATCTGATACATTTCGCAGTGAAAGCCCATTCACTCAAAGCTTTTTAGATAGTATTCCTATACCTGGAGAAGAATTATTAAATTTTGCATCACCACCACATAGTCCCCTTCCTATAAATGAAAATAATCATACAGAAGATATGGAATTAGATACAGATGTTGAAAGAGAAAAAGAAAAATTACCATATTCTCCAACAGATAAAATTACTGCCAATATACCTATGGATACAGAATTGCTAGGTATTCAACCATCTGATGTATCTTTCATTACTGTTAATGAAGCAAATAATAGTCCAAATTTTAATACATCTGTGACATCTAGTCAAGATGATCAAAAATCTTATCAAGGAAAAATCATTGAAAATCAAAGTTATTTACCAAATATTGTATATTATACACCATCACAAAATTCAATGTGTGTTACAAATACAAATGTGCAATATTTACCAATTGATTTATCAGAAACTTCTAAACCAATTTTATGAAAATACATAATTCTCATTTAAATATACCTCCTTATGAAAATATATGTATTGCTAAAAATAATAATACTTCTGAAACTTTAGATATTAATTCAAGTCAAGAAATGCCTTATTCTCCAACTGATACTCCTATTTACGATCCTGATTTATCACACGCTCTTCCACAAACTCTTGGTGCATTGACTATCTCAAATTCTTCCTTAGTCTCTTTAGAATCATATATTTCTAATACACATGGAAGTAATGAACAACATAATCATATATCAACAGGCCAACATATACAGCCTACAAAAGACGTAAGTAATGAAAATGAAC